CCCCCCTCCCCCTCTCTCTCTCTGTCTCTCTCTCTCTTCTTTGAAGACTGTATTTCTCTTTGTAACCCTGTATCCCTGGCTGTTCTGGAACTTGCTCTGTAGCCCAAGGCTGATCTCAAACTTATAGAAATCAGCCTCTGGAGTGCTGAGGTTAAAGGCATGCACTACTACAGTCCAGCTCCCATTCTATCTTCCCAACAAGGTCTTCCTTTTTAGCCCTGGCTGACCTCAGCCTCCTGAGTGCAGAGATTATTCGCGTGTATTACCCTAAGTGGCTACTTCCTTGTTTTGGAAACAACAGATTGAGGCTAATTTTGGCTTCATGCAAGACATAAAATTCTGTAGTAGTTTAGTGTAGGACAATGGTAAATATTTGTTGAATTCAAATTTTAAGTGCCACTTTTATCAGTTGAAATTTTTAAAATATGCTTTTGAAGTCTATCTAGGTGGGAGAGGGATATAGAATCACTGTGATGTATCAAAGTGTATTATAAGCAGTGTACACTAGGATGTATAAATATGCTTTTGTGAAATCCTTTAGTTTATTAGGGAGGTTTTGGAAATCACACTCTTTAGGTCCCCATTTCACTTGAGTCAGACTTTAGGCCATCAAAATCAGTGTTAATTTCTAAGCATTTCTTCTTGTTTACTTTTTGTAGTACTAGAATATTCTTGTAATGACATAGGTAAGCAACAGCATGATTGTTCCATTGTCTTGATTAACTATTATGTACATATGTTATGTCAGAAGCACAGAGAAGTACAGTAATATCTCAGAGTCTACCTTTTTAAGACTGCCTTATATTTTTTTGGGAGTTGGGGGGATGAGGTCTCAGGTAGTCCTGGCTGGCCTCCAACTTGCTGTGTAACTGGATGGCCTTGAACTCCTGATCATCCTCCTCTGTTTGCCTGCCTCCCTGGTGTTGGCGTAATTGGCATGTCCCACCATACCCAGTTTTAGCAGTGCTGGGTCTTTCTGTTTGCAAGGCTCCACGATACCAGTTGAGCTACATTCCCTGCCTTGGACCCACAGACTTGATCAAATGTAGTTTTTGGTTTTTTTTTCAACAGCCTGTTTTATTTGGTTATATCAAATTCATGTTTTAAGGAGTATTAGAAATTTGTCATCACTAGATGGCAGTCTTTCTCCACTGTAAGTCATTTGTTCAGACAAGAAAATAGTGCTATACTTAT